TCTTCTGAGAAACCAGTCTAATACTGTCATGAGACTGGGGAAGGATTCACAAGGAAATGTATGAATAAACAGTGGGAGAAGTCTTTTTGACCTGTGGGAACAGGGGGAAAGCACAGCATATTTTTTTGACCCAAAAAAGGTCTTCTAAAGAGACCAGAGAGAAAAGATAGAGACAAAGAGAACAGAGGGACCAGACAGAGTTAGATTGTATTAGTTTATAAGAGCTCAGGACCTGAGTTCTGTGCTGCGAGTCCTGGATCCATAGTCCGTGAGGATTGAATCCCTCTCACAATGTGGACCTCCCCGAGGTTTCTCACCTTTTCCCACTTGGTTTTAGAGTTTTTCCTTGCCGATGTGGGGGGTCTGCTAAACTGTTAGAGATATAAATGACTCGCTTGAGATACAGATACAGTAGTAACCCTTGTTGGGAGTAATGTATTACAAAAGTAATGTCATTACTCTAATATATTACTTTTTGCTGTAACACAGTAGTGTAAGGCATTACAAATCAAAAACTGGGTTATATTTACTTGGTACAGGGGTCGGTGACGTGTGTTACATGGCATTTTAACTCCGCCCTCCGCTCAGCGATTGTGCGCGGGCCATGATTACCATGGCCTGCTTATATGGAGGACCAAAACTGTCTAAATAATTATCGAATGAATAAATAAATACATGTCAAAATCTGCAAACATTTATTAAGATAACGTTACAAAACAAAGTTTTTGTTTCAAAACTTATTATTAAAGCTTTATTATTTTCTGTCTGCATTTATTTATTTCCGTGTTCATTCAAAGGTCAAGATTTAAAATAAATGCATTAACTACATGTTATATTAGTGACATGTTAGTCCCATATGAACCAGCCCGGACTCTGAGGAGCACAGGGACTGGACTCCTGTTAGTGTCCAGAGTCAGAACTAAACATGGGGAGGCTGCTTTTCAGATTCATGCTGCTAAAATCTGGAACAGTCTTCCTGAAGATGTGAGACAGGCCTCCTCTCTGACAATGTTTAAAACCAGGTTAAAGACAGTTCTGTTTAGCTGTGCATACAACTGAGAGATTGTATATTTTATATTTTTATCTTTCTTTTTAATGTACTGTGATTATCTATGATTTTAATGCTTTCTTATTTTTGTTCAGCACTTTGAGTTGCCTTGTGTATGAATTGTGCTATACAAATAAACTTGCCTTGCCTTACAGTTTTGTGCCAAAGAAATAATAAATTCTCAATATTTTGTTTCTGAATGTATTTATTTTCTTCATATCTTCATTTATTTCCTTTTTTATTTCACTGACCCACAGTGAGGAGGTCTGACTCACAGTGAGGAGGTCTGACTCACAGTGAGGAGGTCTGACCCACAGTGAGGAGGTCTGACTCACAGTGAGGAGGTCTGACTCACAGTGAGGAGGTCTGACTCACAGTGAGGAGGTCTGACCCACAGTGAGGAGGTCTGACTCACAGTGAGGAGGTCTGACTCACAGTGAGGAGGTCTGACTCACAGTGAGGAGGTCTGACTCACAGTGAGGAGGTCTGACTCACAGTGAGGAGGTCTGACCCACAGTGTGAGGAGGTCTGACTCACAGTGTGAGGAGGTCTGACTCACAGTGAGGAGGTCTGACTCACAGTGAGGAGGTCTGACTCACAGTGAGGAGGTCTGACCCACAGTGAGGAGGTCTGACCCACAGTGAGGAGGTCTGACCCACAGTGAGGAGGTCTGACCCACAGTGAGGAGGTCTGACCCACAGTGAGGAGGTCTGACCCACAGTGAGGAGGTCTGACCCACAGTGAGGAGGTCTGACTCACAGTGAGGAGTTCTGACCCAAAATGTTGGCGCAAAATCTTGGCTGTCTGCCTGTTATTGTGACTTACCGGCGCCCTCTGTTGGATTTTCAATGAATGATGAGATAATTTTCATTTTATTCGTTTTTTTAGGTTCATACAGCATTTAGTTATTTGACATAAATACATATACACATTTCCTCTTCACTTATTGACCAGATGCATCAACGTCATCCAGTCACGTGATTGTGCATGAGCTTACGGCGGAAGTAGTGGAAACTGGCATTGCGGCGAGAGCAAAACGGACCACAACTCTTAAAAACTGAGAGTCCTCTCCTAAATCGAGAAGTGGCTGCTTCAAGCACATGTTCGATTACGTTTTTGGTGAAAGTAGGACATCTTGTCAGGGCTCTCAAAGAGCAGTATTTGGAGAAGTGAAGGATGGCTGAGCTGGATGTTGACCCAGACCTTCTCCCCCCAGCCAATTTTATCGATTAAATGGAATGTCCATATTTGCCCGAGTTCACCCCACATGATCTTTATCATTATGTCGTTAACAATGCATCCCCTTACACTGGAGCAGATTTAAATGTAAATTTTGCTGGTAGCATTAGCGCATTAGCAATGCACTTTTCAATCTACAGCCAAACATGATACATATTGACAGAGAGGAAAACAGTGAAAAAAGCAACTGACGTCTAAGATAAGAAAAGAGATCATTTATTCATGCCACAGTGGGGAAATTTCAATCTTGCAGCGCACATACAGGACAGTAGTAAGAGCACACATTTGACTTCAAGCGTTTGATGCGTCATTGCTCTCCAAATAAATTAAGGGAAAGAGAATAAATACAAAATTGTGATTGATTTATCTTGTAAAAAGTGTTCACTGCATATGAGCGAGTACTTGGATGGCTCCCAGTCCGCTTGGGTGATTGCTGCCATCGTCGTCTTCTATCTTCATGACGAGCAGGTATCAGATAAAAAGACACATTTGTCTTATGTCCTGTTAGTACAACCAACCGCACTGCAAAATATCACAGTTTTGGCTATTATTCGGTGAAACAGGTTGTTTTGGTAAAGTTTCCGAAGGCTCACAGTTAGACTTCTGCCGTCTGTCATGGAGAGTGGGCGTGGCCGGGACGTCACATGCACGGGGTCAATATAGAGACCGGAAATGGAGTGGGAAGAGTCTATATTATCTAGGAAGTAAAGCCTAGTGTACACTCACGCGGAGCTTAAGGCAGTGACGAGACGTCACTTGACCAACGTAAGGATCACTGCAAGACCCTTGCGTAGCCACCCCTTCTCCCTTTAAAATGTCTAACTAAGCAGCGCCACAGAGAAGCTTGTTTGTGATTGGTCCGTGTGTGTGCTTTGGATGGAAGCATGGAGTGGCTGCAGGGAGCATGGACGAGGCACTTCGGAGCAGATTTTGCACTTCAAAGGGACCAAAGGAAAAGCAGTGTGGCCTCATGGCTCAGAGCCTGATATATATTTTCACACTGTTTTTAAAACAGCCGAACACACAGCACGCTCTTCCAGGCAGTTTAGAAGAAGAAACAGTTCCGTCGACAGCCACAAACAGCATCACGCACCTACTTCCAGCAGGATGGCACCGCGGTAATGGCAGCACTGTTTGACTTCCGGGTTTAGCGGGAGTAACGTTGGTTTGCACTGCCTCGCCGTCTGTGGCCAGCCCCCTTCACTTGCATTTCTTTGCAAGACAAGAGGAAAGAATAATGCGTCATGAAATAATTAAACAGAACATCAATAAAAAAGGAAAAAAATAAGATTCAGATCAGATTCAGATTCATTTATTTGCCATTTGCAGTAAAACCACATTGGAAAAACTGTGCAAGACTACCCCGGTGTGCACCAGATAGAGAAGACGACACACACCAGAGCTCTTGCCACGGCGCCATCTTTACGGCGCCATGCGGCAAACAGTAGAATAAACAGCAGAGAGCAATAACATACAGTTTCACAGACAGTTGGATAGACACATTGTGCTTTGTATAAACCACGGATTTTTTTCTCGGGATGAGCACCTCCGACAGCCGGCCAATGTGGCTGTCAGAGGGGGGCGGGGTCTTGTTAAAGTTGTCTGTGGCAAAACTCCAGGAAAAAGACAAAACAGGAGATAGCAAGCAGTCAGAAGCAGGAGCGGTCTGAGACACGTCTTTGCTCGACTGAGGCGGAAGTAGAAGATCTGAAGAATACAGACAGACAAAGATGAATACATGCAGGAAGAAAATAAAGAGGATTAGTTATTTCTTTGGGGGAAAAACTGCAGTTAAATAACAATATATACATTTTTTAAATCTTAACCTTTGAATGAGTCAGGAAATAAATAAATGCAAACAGAAAATAATAAAGCTTTATTATTTTCTCAAATCTCATAATTTGTAGCGTTATATTAATAATAATAAAATGCAAATTGTGACATTTATCTATTTATGTATTTATTATTTTTACAGTTGTGGTCCTCTTATTTTATGCAGCCTATGAATATTTGAGAGTCTAAGCTCTGGTGGAATTTTCTTACACTCAATCTTACTCCATTAAACATGTTTACTTTCTACTGTCTTCTTCCTGGAAGGATCTCTGTGGACAATCATGATTTATTCACAGTGGTTTTCATATGAAGCATTCATAAATAAAGACAATGATTGATTAAAAAAAAGAAGATTGGAATAAAAAAAAATTCTACTTCACATGTGAAACTTTACATATTTGTTCAGGTGTGAAAAGACAATAACAAAAACTTCCTAAAAAAGTCCCAGATGTAAAGAGGGGTTGTGTGTACTGCCATGGATGTGGATGTCATCATGGATACAGCTGTCGTCATGGAGACAGCTGTCGTCATGGGTGCAGCTGTTTTGGGTACAGCTGTCGTCATGGTATAGCTGTTGTCATGGTATAGCCGTTGTCATGGATACAGCTGTCGACATGGATACAACTCTCATCATGGATACAGCTGTCATCATGGATACAGCTGTCGTCATGGATACAGCTGTCGTCATGGGTACAGCTGTTATCATGAGTACAGCTGTCGTCATGGTAAAGCTGTTGTCATGGTTTAGCTGTTGTCATGGATACAGTTGTCGACATGGATACAACTCTCATCATGGATACAACTCTCATCATGGATACAGCTGTCATCATGGATATAGCTGTCATGATGGATACAGCTGTCATCATGGCTATAGCTGTTGTCATGGATACAGGGGTGGTCTGTTTTTTTGGTGGATATCAGCGGTGGGACGGGTCTTCATCTGCAGTAGCTCTGTGATTGGTCGAGAGCTGCCCTGGTACAAGTCCAGTCCTGTGAGCCACTCTACATCTCTGACGCGTGATTGGTGGAACCACACAAAGCCCTCCACCCACTCTGACTCCGGCCCCGAGCTCTGAGGCACAGAAACAAATGTAAGGAGTAAGCCCCTTAATTTAGTGGTTGTAGTAGAATTACTGTAGAAGTAGTAGTCGTAGTGGCAGCAGTAGTAGTATTAGCAGTACTTGTACCCGTACCTGGCAGCTCTCTGTGGTCTCCTCTCGGTGCGGCAGGATGAAGCAGGTGGTCTGCAGAGGTCCTTCACAGCTGAGGACCGAGGAAGATGAGTTTCTGCAGCTCGTCAAAACGATGAAGAAGTGTGTGGGAACAGGGATTGAGGAGCCGGGTACAAAACTAGAGCAGACATGGAATTAGACGAGATCCAGATTCTAGTCATAATTTGGCTTGTCATGATAATGACTGAAAATAAGTTTCAGACTCGCAGTAATGAATGATTATCTGAAACTATGATAATGTTGCATCCACCCATTTTCTTCCACTTGCCACTTCCACCAACTGTTGCCAGGTTGCGAGGGCAGCTGCATCTCTAAGCAGAGACTTCCAGACATCCCCTTCCATTCACTTCCTCCAGCTCATCAGGGGGAATTTCAAGGTGTTCCCAGGTCAGCTGAGAGACGTCCCTCCAGCCTGTCTTGGGTCTTCCCCTGGTCTCCCCCTTGGTGGGACATGCCAGACAGATGCCTGAGCCACCTCAAATGGCATCACGGGTAGAGGCAGCGGCCTTCTCATATCTCTTAGGACTTAAACTGAGCGGTATTCTATTATTATATGCAAAACTATGATAGAATATGTAATTAATGCTAAATGTATTTATAATATATATATATATATATATATATATAATTTTATATACATGTCTGAGTTATTGATTTAATTATGATATAATAAGATAAGGGTAAAGTTATGGTTAAACTTTATTGATCTCACAATGGAGAATAGATAGAATCTCTCGGATTGTGCAATAAAAAGTGGCAATAGTAGTGCTGTTTTTTTCAGTCCTAGGGCAGGTCATTAGTGACTCATTGTGCTGTCTGACAGCGGTGGGGATGAAGGCCCTGCGGTTGTGGTTCTTTTAAAGTTTATCTTAGCTACTGAGGGTGCTTCCGTCTTCCACTGAAAGAGCTCCTCATTCAGTCCTGGGCAGTGGGTGGGAGGTGTGACTTTGACTTAAAAAGATTAGCGGAACTCGCCCATATTTGGGCATCGTCTGGTCCTCCTGGTTCTGCACAGTGGATGAGCTCCCAAATACACGTGTGTGACACTTCTGCACGTGCACAGAGGGACTCGATCACGCTCAGACAAATCAGAGCTGGTGATCAGAGCAGAGATAGAGCAGGGGCCAAACGAGCAGAGTTTTTTGCCTTAAAGTGTAGATTTATAGAAAACCGAAGGATTTAACAAGAAAAAAAAAGGACATAACACAAGGGACACTAAAATCCCCACAAAATCTGACCTTTATGAAAGCAGCAAAGGTCAGCTGAGGTTGAGCTGTTTTAATTTACGTTGAGTTCTATGGGACATTTCTTTGTGTATACACACTAATTCAGGTGGACTATAGTCCACCTGAATTTAGTCTGCAGTACAGCGGGCGCCCCCTGTGCTCGTGGATGGGACAGCTATAAGTTAGTAATATCCTATCTAGATATTATTATAGATCCATGGCAAGGAGCTACACACACACGTAGGGAGACTGAGTCTGATGACCAGGAGAGTCCTGCTTACGTCCCTCTCTTTGCCCAAAGTTCCTCCATCACTTTGCTGTGATTTTGTTGTTAGCACTTATCTTTTCACTGATGTTAAGTTAACTTTGTTGTTCAGACCAGCGCCCCCTTCAGTTCAGCACGGTTGCCTGTTGCTGAGGGTTCTTGCTTAGAACCTTAAAAAAATCAAGGGAATATTGGTGTCCATGTCTCTCCTGTGTCTCGTCCTGTAGAGCTGAAACTATGAGTAGATACATTTATGCTTAATTTTCCCTCTCATTACAAATGCATGTTGGTTGTGCCCAAAAGTAAAATGTTATGAACAAGTCAAACTTATCAAACCACAACTTGTTTTGTTTTTGCCTTTGTTTTTTTCTTTGCGTTCTTAAGAAAGAGCCCTGTGACTCATCATTTGATATTTTGGGCTGAGAGTGGATGGATTATCTGAGCCCATCTAAACATAAAATAGAAGCAAAAAGTAAAATCTCGATTAAGAACAATGTGACAAATGGGGTGAGTACTAAACATCATTTACTGGTACTCATCCGAGTACCTCACTGAAAAAGTTATGTGCACCCCTGGTTATATGTTAGTTTTGCTTACCGCAAGATCTCCTCTGAGGAATCGTAGCGACCGTCATAGTCGTAGTCAAAGATGGGACCACTGAGAACATTGAGTTCTCCATAAAGATGAGAATAAGACGGTAACAGGACGTCGTGGAAGTACCGCCAGATCTCTGCAACAATCACATGTGTCATCAGGGGCTAGAGTCTCAGTAGAACTGTCATCAGGGGCAAGAGTCTCAGTAGAACTGTCATCAGGGGCTAGAGTCTCAGTAGAACTGTCATCAGGGGCTAGAGTCTCAGTAGAACTGTCATCAGGGGCTAGAGTCTCGGTAGAACTGTCATCAGGGGCTAGAGTCTCAGTAGAACTGTCATCAGGGGCTAGAGTCTCAGTAGAACTGTCATCAGGGGCTAGAGTCTCAGTAGAACTGTCATCAGGGGCAAGAGTCTCAGTAGAACTGTCATCAGGGGCTAGAGTCTCAGTAGAACTGTCATCAGGGGCTAGAGTCTCAGTAGAACTGTCATCAGGGGCAAGAGTCTCAGTAGAACTGTCATCAGGGACTAGAGTCTCAGTAGAACTGTCATCAGGGGCTAGAGTCTCAGTAGAACTGTCATCAGGAACTAAACTAGTTTTGAGTGAATGAATAACGCTGTTTACTTGCTCTGGTCCCTCAATCTAATATTATTATGGTTATCAGCGTGCGTAAGTGAGGAGTGTTTGTGCGCATGCTTGTGTCTGTGTGAAGTGAGGACTCACTGTTGAAGCTTGGGAACATGGGGACGATGTTGGAGGTGGTGAGAGCGTCAAACTGCTGCTCGGCGGAGGAGTTCAAGTCTGTGACACACAGGATGTTCAAGAAGGATCTGTGAGTGTTCTTGTGTGTGTCTGTATGTGTATGTGTGTGTGCGTGTGTGTGTGTTCTTCTGTATGTGTGTTTACTTGGAGGGAAGAGGAACCCAAAGCTGATGTTCTTGTCAGAGCTGTAGACCTCACAGCTCTGACTCTGATCTGGAGGTACTCGGACATCAGGACGAAGACAGTCAGAGAGGAGGGGCCCGAGGGGGGAGGCGGAGGCCTGGGGAGGGAGGGGAAGTTCCATTACTATAGTTACTACTGTATGTGAGGTCTGCCTGTTTTTAAGTCACTTCTTAAAACTCATCTTTTTTCACTTGCTTTTGATAATGTTTGATTTTAGGTAATATTGTATTGTATTTGTATGTATTTTTTATGTGTTTGTTTTTGTGTACAGTACTTTGGCTGAACTGTAAAGTTTTTAAAGTGCTTTATAAATAAAGCTGGTATGGTATGGTATGGTATAGGTCTGAGGGGCAGGGCAGTAGGACTCACTGGTCGAGGAACGGTGTAGGATGTCCACAGGGACATCTGTCGGTCGGAGCTGAAGCCGCTGATGAAGGCCTCTTGATGCAAAGGGCAGTGAGTGAGGGAGGTCTGAAGCACCACAGGACGTCCCAGAGGGAGGTGAAGCCTCTCCGAGAAGGACACTGGAGGACAGAGGAGGTCATGTGACTTTGAGAAGGACACTGGAGGACAGAGGACATGTGACTCTGAGAAGGACACAGCAGGACAGAGGAGGTCATGTGACTCTGAGGAGGACAGGGGAGGTCATGTGACTCTGAGGAGGACACTGGAGGACAGAGGAGGTCATGTGCGCTTTTCTGTGTGGAGTTTTTATGCTCATGCCGTAGCACATGGAGGAAACCTACGCAAATACCTGTGTAGGTTTTGGCTGTGCAGGGGGAATAAGAGTATTTGTGAGAGCGACTGTGGGACATGGTATGCACATAAGCCCAAGGGACGAAGAGCTGTCTTCTTTAACATGCACTGCTCCACCCGAATAAACCGTAATACAAAATAAATGTGACTCTGAGGATACTGGAGACTTTGTTGACTTTGATATCTATATTAGGTTAATGTATACTTTATTGTCCCTTTAGGCAATTTCTATTCTACTCTCCCCCTTTTGGGACAGTTTCCATTGGTCCTGTTCAACCAGTATCAGGTCTTCTTTAGTCCCTCTGGGTCCTGGTCCTATCCAGGACGAGCTGGTACTAAAGTGTTCTAATTGACGGTGATTGGCTAGAGTGCTGCTGGATGCCATGGTTATTGGTGTATTACAGAGAGGTTGCTTGGAAACAGTACAAGACACAGAGATTATTTATTTCAGTTTGTCTTGTTTTGTTAAGAATTTTGAGTTGCCCTGTGTATGTGCTTTACAAATAACCTTGTTTTGGCCTCTGGTGTTTCTCATGTTTTGGAGTCAGCAGTTGTACCTTGAGCTGCGGTCAGATTGAGTCTGAAGTTGATGCTGTCGTCGGTCTGAAGGAAACAAAGACCAAACAGAACAATGAACAGATGAAAGTAAACTGAGAAAGTTTCAGTTTACTGGAAAATGGGATTTTGGGAACAGGTTGTGATGTCTCGGCTCGGGGGGTGTATTTGTGTGTGTGTGTGTGTGTGTGTGTGTGTGTGTGTGTGGGGAGGCAGACTGCTCTGGTGCTTTCACTTTTACTCCCATATTTTTTTCAGAGCGAAAAAGATGTTTGAATGTTTTCTCAATACTTTCTTGTTTTGCAATGTTACTGCCTTTTTCCAAAATTGATGAAATTCTTATTTTGTTTAGTCAATCCACACACAATACCCTAACGACTAAAGCCCTGTTTCCGCCAGTCTCCACAATACTCTTCTCAGATCTAGTCTGTACTTGCATCTACTGCACTCTGCACTTCTCTTCTCTTCTTGACTCTACTCTTTATTCTCTACTCAGCTTTTACTCTACTCTCTCCCGAATGGGAGCTTTGAGCCAGTTTAACTCGAACCCTGGTTCAGACCCTGGTTCTATCTAGGCAGAGTTGGTGCTAAAGTGTTGTAAATGTAAAAGTGCACTTTAGGGACCCATCTGCAGATGTTAATGCTCGGCTTGGTCAGGTCCGAAGCTGTACGATTAACCCATTGTGCGTGTTTTTAGAGGCAGGAGAAACCGGAGCACCCGAAGGAAACCGGAGTACCCAGAGGAAACCTACGCAGACGTGGGGAGAACATGCAAACTCCACTCAGGCCCTGTTCTAACTGGGATTCAAACCCAGGACCTGCTTACTGAGTGCTAATCACTCAGCTACCATGCCACCCTACATTCTACTCGGATACCGGTTTGCTGTGGGTAGGTTGCTATAGGATAAGGTATCAGATACTACCGAGCAATGAAAACGCAACCAGGCAGAGTAGTCAGTGAAATAAGACTTGTGCATAAGTTTCCACACCCTTTGCTCAAGTCCTGTTTCCACTGATTATTGAGATGTTTCCAGAAGAGTCCACTGGTTCGTTATTACTTTCAAAATATTGTGTCCTCTCGGACCAGACCCAGGCTCCGACTCAGGGCCAGGCCAGACCATATATATATATATATATATATATATATATATATATATATATATATATATATATATTGGAGTTCCGATTGGGTGCTATGTGTACTGTATATATAGACTCTATTTGTTTTTTATAATGTCTGTATACAGGCGTGCCAAGCCTGCGTGGGCTTATGAGGCACCATTAGCACAAATACAGATATAGGCCAACTTCAAATCTAATAAAGGAATGTCTCCAGTTTCCTATGTTCAAGGCTAATAAAGGAAATCAGTTTATTGACCCCCCCCCAGGAGAAATTCAGGTGTCCATAGCAGCAAAAATAAATAAATATTTATTATTGATCAATAATATTGATTGATAAATGTTATTGGTTATTGATCATTAAATTATAGATTATTGAGTAATAAAATTATTGATATGGAACGGTATAAAATTTGTACTGTTTCTGAAGTTATTGCCCAATTATGCTCGTCCCTGTCATGGCAGCCGGAACTCCACCTTCCCGGTGTTCATAAAGGAAATGAATTCCTTTGAAGCGTTTACAGTATTCGGATGGAGAACGGGGGCCCAGTGTTTATGGACTGAGCTGTAACTGTTTGTTCAGTGTTCAGAGTTCTGTGTAAGGGCTGCGTCTGGTGGAGGATGTTTTAGTCAATTCTCAAATGTTGCTCACTTAAGCAAGATTTGAGAAACTAAAACATCCTCCTTTGACTTTCTCTGGAAATTGAGATTCTCCTTATTGTTAAAATATTTGGCACATGCAAGCTCATAGTAATACATGTTTGATTCTCTATTTTGATGCACACTCCCTTTATGGGAAGCGAACAGCTCAGCAGAAATACAAAGCATGGAGAATCTTCTAAGGACCACTGTGTAGAGAGAGGACACAAGTTCAGCAGAAAGGATTACCGCGTGGGACCACTGAATCTGTATTGGTCAATGCAGACTCTGTAGTAACTTAGACAGAGGAAGACAATTTGGTTGAACTCAATTGGTAAACATAACTACAGTATATATTAGAATGCTAGAGCATTCTAATTTCTCTTGTTCGGTTTTTTTGATCAATGCGTTTTTTAATTATTATTTTTTTTGCAGAGAAGAGAATTTCCAGCAAAGAGAAAGTATTACTCTTGGAGGATTTCTAAAGTCCTGTTTGAGTACAGACCTGGTACAGACCTGGTTGGGTCGTGGTTCAGTCCACTCCAATCGCTCTCTTGTCTCTCTCTGATTTTTTTCTGATCTCTCTTTGGTTTCTCTCTTGTCTCTTTCTGATCTCTCTGATCTCACTCTGGGCTCTCTCTGGTCTCTCTCGGAGCTCTCTTTATGGTATCTCTCTTTTCTCGCACACTGATCTCCTTCTGGGCTCTCCCTGGTTACTGGTCTCTCTCTGGTTTTGCTCTGGTCTCAGTCTTGTCTCAGTACCAGTGCATCGCAGGAGCACCCTTGGGTACCATTGGGGCTCAGACTAGTCATGGGACAGTCCCGGCTTGGGCTGGTCTCTGGGGGGGCAGTAGGGCTGTAGAACGGCGCCCTCTGGAGGTGGTTCAGAGCTCCGTGAGTTCCATTGTTCGGAGCCGGAACAATCTCCAACAGATCTGTGGAAAAGCACTTTTAAAGAACTCCTCAGTGAGTTCTGATCATGAGGATAATTACTAAAGCATTTCATGTTTTACAAAGCTGGGGTACGTGACTTTAAAACCACATTTTAACTCTGTAATGAAATACTTATCTCTAGTTATTGGGACTAGGTCTCTGTCTGGTTTGGTAACTATTTTTCACATGTAACTCGGGCTTTTGTCACATCTTTTGATGAGCTTTTTCAGAAAAGAGAGAAGAGATGACCACCCTCACTCAGCCGATCAAGCTCTCAGCCCAAAAAGTCAATTAGTGACTTAATGAAAGATTGAACCCTTTCATGCATGAATTATGATAGGCTTCTTCAACATTTTCCCCCCAAGTGTTTTAATTACTCTTGAGGCATGAAAAGATAGAAAATATTTTAATTTTGAAATACATGAATTCTCCATGGAGTTGGTGACACGTCCACTAGAGTGGACAACGTGCATTTGAGTCACGGAATAAGAATACTGTAAACACCATAGGACATTTTTTTGTTATCTTTAGCATTGTATAACTTTAACCATTTACTAATTGTCTTTTGTCTGGTACCTATCTTCATCATTCCCACATCACCCTCACTTGAGTCAGATTGTAATTCCTGGACTGTCCTGTAGGCTTTTCTATTCTGCTCTGCCCCTGACCACTACAAAACACATGGAAAAGGATCATTATTCTCATGATATTCCAAATATTCACAAGATATAATATATATATCAAATAATGTAATTTATTTACACCCAAAACTGTATTGAAAATGAAGTATTTACAGAAACAACAAAGTTGCAGCAACACTATATATTGTTATCAAAATATAGCTATATGCACAACGTCCACTTTAGTGGACACATGATTCATTGCAATTTCCTCAGAACAGAAAATATATACTTGGGTTTTTCAACAATTATACGACTCCTTAGATGTTACTTGACGGCCACATATTTGTTTTACCTGCTAAACCTTTCTAGAATATAATGTATGAACAGATTTTCCTCCTTCACTAAGCACATTTTCTCTTTTGTCGGCCATCTTTTTTAAAGAGTTTTTTTTTTTACATTTGTATGTTTACCAGAATGTAGCAGTGCATATGGCAAGACACACCAGGGTCCACTTTAGTGACTGGAGTGCAACTCTGACTTTAAAACTCACACATATGGAAGAAAGCAACTATTGAATAGCTGTCCACTGTAGTGACCACTATGCTTGAAAGGGTTAAGGTTAAAACAACAAACAAACAAACAAGGTGACGACAGGATGTTGTGTCCAATTGGTTCACAGCATTTTACTTTCGGTGTTAAGGTTAGGTACCCCAGGTTTAGGAAATAGAATAAGAGAGGGCTGATGATGGGTTCTAGTGTATTGAGTTTGAAAAAAGAACTTTTAGACAGAAGGGGCGGAGGTTTGTGTGGACCTACCACACATGAGGTTGTAGAGCTCGATGTTCGAGAATGGTGCCACCACAGTTTGAGATTTGAACTTCGGGCCATAGCTCAGGAACATGGCCTTAGACAAACAAGCACAAAGTAAATCCTGGTTCTGTCCTGTTTTAGTCCTTGTTCAGTCCTGGTTTATTTAGTCCTGGTTCATTCCTGATTCAGTCCTTTTTAAGACAAGATTTAGTTTTGCTAGTACGTACATTTCTAGTCCAATTTCTGTGTAATGTCTTATAATTGAGCATCCAGATCTGTCAGGTCTGGTCTGGTGTGGTCCAGTCTGGTCTGGAAACATGAGGGTAAACAGCGCTCACATGCATGCTCTCCACGTCGTTGTCGTAGCCGTGATTTCCTCCAGAACAGAAGGTTAGAGAGCCGGGGTATCTGCAAACAGACCGGGATCAGACCGGGATCAGACCGGGATCAGACCGGGATCAGACTGTTATTTTGCTCTTGTCTAACATCTTACAACCAACATCTTTTGTGGTGATAAATGTGTGTACTTGTTCATGTATAGTAGACATTTTGACTAATGTTATGTTGATTTTTTTTATTTCTTTATAAATGCCTTATTCTATGTTTACTTTCATAACTCGTTTGCACCAAAAGCCAAAGCAATTTCCTTGTTTGTGACTTCCTGTTACTCACCATAGCAATAAAAAGATATCTGATTCTGATTGTAAACGATGTCATCGTGGTTCAAAGAAAACAACCTCCAGCTGCACACGTCCAAAACATGTGAGCTTGTCTTTGATTAAAGCCGTAACACTTCTGTGTGTTGTTATTGATAACTCCGAAGTCAAGATTGTAGAGATGGGAAGTTTCTGGGTTTAATTCTGTCTAATGACCTGAACTGGGAAAAAAAACATTAGTCAAGTTGTTAAGAAAGCTCGTCAGCGTCTCTACTTTTTGCAGAAACTTTGAGAATTCACCACAAACTCTAAGATTATTCTTCACTTTTATCATGGCACCATTGAAAGTTTGCTTGTTGGTTCTGTGGTTTGGGGACATAAGAATTAGAAAAAGGAGAGCTCAAAACAAGATGCTCCGCTCTGCAAAGAGAACTGTGAGCTGTGAGACCAGAAAGAGATCAAAGAGAGAAAGACCTGAGAGAGAGAGAGAGAGAGCCCAAAGAAAAACCAGAGAGAGGTGTTCCACTCTGACTGTGAGCTGTGAGCTGCCTGTTCTGGAGGTCCTTTATCCAGACTCTTAAACCAAACTCTTGGTTTAAGAGTCCATGGATTAAAATCCATGGCATGGCCCCTGGAAAACATTCCAGCTTAAAAAGACATAGTTCGCTGAGATATGGCACAAGCTGTTATCAGTCTGATCAAAGCACGTCAATGATCTTGCATTTGTATTGAAACCTGTTTTGTTGATTGATTTCTCAGTGATGTTTGTTTCTTGCACTTTGTAGCTTGTATTATTTATGTGCTTGTCTACCGCACATTGGGGACTTTTGCAAATGTATTCCAATGTGGGTTTGCTGCAAATGGCAAATTAACTGAATCTGAATCTGAGGAAGCAGGCCTACCCTAGTACTATCCCAGGTCTACCCCAACCCTTAAAGCAAGTCCTACCCAGACCTACCCCTCAAAGAGCCACTGTGGTGACACCAGCACATTGACGTCTTCGATGCGCGGGTTATAGGCGTAGTGCAGTCTCTTTGGAAGATTCTGCTTCAGGTACGGACGGATCTTCTGTCCCGGGTCTCGACACTGGACCGAGACAGAGTCAGTCAGTCAACTCATAGACCTACTCACTCAGAGACGGAGTTTCAAAAAGAGAATGTGGAGATAGAACTGTACTCACCGTCATGTTGGCAACAAGCCCAGCAGCATCCACTAAGAACAGACACACATGAGACACAAGTAATGAAGTAATGAAGGACCTGGTACTGGTTAAACCAGTGGAAATGAGCCCAATCAGGGTAGATTAGAGTAGAGTGGGACTGTTGGAAACGGGGCGAAAGTAAAAGGTTAGCTACAGTCGCGCTCGCTAGAGTAGAGTAGAGTAGAATAGAATAGAGTAGAGTAGAGTAAAGATGAACAGAGTAGAGAAGAGTTGAAAAGAGTACAATAGAATAGATTTGTGCAGAGTAGAGTAGAGTAGTTGAAGGTTTTTAGCTACAACACAATAAAAAAGACCAGCATTCTGTGGGTTTCAAAGGACCAAAATGTCTGCACTCACGTGGCTTGTTCTTGTCACGGGCCCTCACCCGTCCAAAGGGCCCCTGCGTCACCCAGAGGTTCCTGACGTCTCCAACTAAGTCCTGCAGCGCCACCTTCCTGTCACAGCTGGTGTCCTCCATCCCTGCACCGCAACACAACACACTGTTGAAAAAAGGATCACAACAATAACACACTCACACACAGAATAACCCTGTAGTCCTGCTCCAGATCTGATTGGACTGACTTTAAATATTGTATTTCAAAATTGTAAGATAAACCTCTATTCGTCCTTCGGTTGGGAAATGTCAATGTCCTTGTGCTTTACTTCAGAATAAGATAAGAAAAAAAAGCACTCAAGTTTCTCACATCAAGCAGGATATAATACCCACCTTTTCTCCTCCTTCGCCTCCTCCCCATCTGTCAATCAAATCTGCACCTTCATCCAAATATCCACCAAGATGACTCCCTCCCCATTGTCCTTGTTAAAGCCTCTACTTCTGCACTTTCCAATCTCATCACAAACATAATAAAAACCTCCCTCTCTACTGGTACTGTGCCCTCACCACTCAAAACTGCAGCTGTCATTCCCATACTTAAGAAACCTGGATCTGATCCCTCTGACCTCAATAACTTCTGCCCTATCTCTGACCTTCTTTTCATCTCCAAACCTCTCACACCACTGCCATAGTTCTCCACACCTGCCTCATCCTCTCTCCAGCTCCTGGTTCTTCCTGTCCGCCTCATCCCCATGGGGAGTAGAGCCTTCAGGCCAGCTCCGGAACACTCACCCCCCTGACCTCCTTAACACCGACTCGCTCACACACTTCAAATCCACCCTCAAAACTCGTCTGTTGAGACAAGTCTATTCACTCACACCATCCTCTGTTCATGCTAATTTTAACTTTGTATATGTTGGTAACTGTTTTTTATGTACTTTTTGACTTGTAATGAAAGGCAACCTTAGGCGTCAAGAAAGGCACCTCAGAAATAAAATGTGTTATTATTATTACTATTATTATTTATGATAATAGATAATAGTATAATAATATAGTAAACTCTGAGAATCTAATTGCACTTGCTTCAAAGATCAGTCACTTGTGGAGTATACACTGTGTTTATAGCACTTTTCATGAGGTATCTATAAATGGTTGGTGTTGTGCTTCAGCAGCAGAGAACATGAACAGAATAAACAGTAATAATTTGAGGTGGATGGGGGAGGTGTTCTGGGCTTGTACCACCAGGAGGAGCCCAGGGGAAGACCTAGGACACAGAGGGACTGAGTCTCTCAGCTGGCCTGGGAACACCTCATGATTCCCCCTGGTTAGCTGGAGGAAGCTCCACACACGCTCAGACCTTTGCCCTCGCAACCCGGCAACGGGTAAAGCATAAGAAAATGGTAGATGTGTTTGAGTCTGAATACTATTAATATGTATCAGCTCATTTTTATGTGTCTGTTTCTGTTTGAGCAGCCAAGTCACACTATAGAATGTTTTTTTGTGAGCGCTTGTTTAATGGTGATATGTCCATAGTTACCGTGGTCGGCGACAATGATGATGTTGACGCAGCGATGAAGGTTGAGCTGCTGCAGTCCGTTCATGAGCTGAGACAGGATATGGTCCACTCCCTGAAGAGCTTCTATCAGCTGCAGCACAACAACTAGGGCTGTCATCAGGAGCTACACTTGTGTTTCTGTAGAGCTGTCAACAGAAGCTTCACTAGTGTCTCTGTAGAGATGTTATCAGGAGCTACACTAGTGAATTGATAAATTCAGCACTAGACAAAGCAGAGGAGCGAGGCCAAGGCTGACTCCGGCAGACCCCTCAGTTCAACTCAGCAGATGTCCTTTATTGAACTTTTAAAAAGTGTTGAGGTAGATGTAGGTTCAGTCAGGTTTGAGTCAAGTCTGAGGTCTGGATCTGATGTGGTCTGTGGCTTTCGGCTTCATGCCACACGTTTGGAGACTTCATTGTCTCTGTCATAAAGTTACGTGACGTTATTTAGAATCATCTCGTCGCAGCCAGGGAGTTACAGGGAAAAAGTAGTTTTTACTCTTAATACTTTCACCATATATTTTATACTGAAGATACAATTTTACATTCTGAAACATCTCTGGTCTCGTTCCTCTCTCTGGTCACTCTTTGTGGTCTCTCTCTGGTTTTTCTTTTTCTTCTCTCTTTGGTCTCTCTCTGGTCTCTCCCTGGTTTCTCTTTTTGTTCTCTCTTTGGTCTCTCTCTGGTTTCTCTCTCTGGTCCTGGACTCACGCTGTAATTTTAGAAGACTTTTTGAAAGAGGAAAGTTTGACACACTTCTGACTTCCTTGTGCGAAGCAGACAGGAGTTCTAACAATACGCTCCCATTTTTCCTTCTGTTGTCCCGGGTTGATACGACATTCCTACATTTCCAGCCTCTCTCACCTTCAGCTCAATAAACGCCTCCTTTCAGTTATATCAATAGTCTGTGACATAACACTGGTTTTACTGCATTAACTGCAATAACCATGATCATGTCCGTGGCTCTGATAAAAGATCAATCACTGCTGATTTTGGCACAGAGTGTTTTAACGGATCATAAAAGAGTCCAGAGTCCAGCTCTACACCTGCTGCGGCTGGTGGACCTTGCAGCTGTCCAGTCCAAGCCCTGCAGCTGTTCAGACCTCTTCCAAACGTCACCTTACAACTCATTTAAAGATGGAGCTGATCTGAACAATGGTTGTTCCTGGTCTGGACTTGGTCTGGGTAAGGTCTTGGTCTGTTCTTGGTTCAGAAAGCGAGAGACCAGAGAGAGTCCAGAAAGAAAGACCATAGAGAGAAACCATAGAGAGACCAGAGAGAGAAAGCAGAGTGGGAGTCCAGACAGACAGACCAGAGAGACCCGAGAGAGAAACCAGAGAGACCATGCAGAAGGACCAGAGGAAGAACAGAGACCAGCTTGGTCTGGTTTTGGTCTTCACGATGTCCCTTAAAGCCGGAGTACATAACTGGAAAACGTCTTTTATTGAAATACAGTATAATTATTTTAATAAAGTATGCAGTATTGTCTTTGTTCCTAAACCTCTGACTATTTCATCTCTCTCTCACCTGTATGCAGTCTCTCCAGACTAAATCCTGGTGGGAAACCAGAGTGCCTGGAGGAAACCCACTCAGACACAGGGAGAACATGCAATCTCCACACAGAAAATAGCGGGAAGAGTGACTCACCCCTCCACTGACCGGACCATAGCTGTGTCCAGACTTATCCGGTTCTTCTAGATACAGCGTCAGGAAGTCTGGCCTGGACACAACAATGCCCCCTTCAGTCAGAGGTGACATAGCAGAAATGATGTTGTATGACATCATAAATGCTAGACTAGAATGAGACCAGATAGAAAATAGTAAAATAAAAGAGAGAGACCAGAGACTGTCTGGACAGAGACCAGAGAAAGAACAGAATAAGATAAAAGAGACCAGAGAGAGAAACCAGGGAGATCAGAGAGAGACCACAAAGAGACCAGAGAGAGATAGAGAGACCAATGAGAGCTATCAGACAGTCCAATCATTCCACACACGGTGATGACAGAAGAGTGAGTGTGACCAGAAAGTAAAAAGAGAGGCAGACCAGAATAGAAACCAGAGAGAGACTAAAGAGAGAGATCAGAGAGAGACCAGACACTAGAATCTTTACTACAGTAGCTCTTTAGAACATGAATGCAGACTATTGCAGTCTTTGCGATTAGTCTTTGTCTTTGATTCTGCTTAATTCTTACTGGTTCGCTGGTTTGTTACTGGTTATTTGCACTCACCGCTCGTCCTCCGGAAGCTGCAGCCACTTCAAAACAGTGAAGACTCGCTCCTCAAACGGGATTTTACTGCAGAGAAACAGAAAGGAGTCAGATCTGGACTGTAGAGGTCACAGTTGGTGGTGAGAAAGAGACCAGAGATAGGACAGAGAGAGACTAGACAGAGACCAGAGAGAGTCCAGAGAGAGCCCAGAGACAGACTAGAGAGAAAGACCTGAGAGAGACCAGAGAGAGAGTCCAGAGAGAGACCAGAGAGAGAGACCAGAGAGACCAGAGCGAGAGACCAGAGCGAGAGACCAGAGAGAGAGTCCAAGGAGAGACTAGAGAGAGACTAGAGAGAGAGACCAGAGAGAGAGTCTAGAGAGATCAGAGAGAGAGACCAGAGAGAGAGTGCAGAGAAAGACCAGAGAGAGAGACTCGAGAGAGAGACCAGAGAGAGAGATGAGAGAGAGAGACCAGAGAGAGACCAGAGAGAGACCAGAGAGAGAGACCAGAGAGAGAGTCCAGAGAGAGACCAGAGAGAGACCAGATAAAGAGTCCAGAGAGACCAGAGAGAGACCAGATAAAGAGTCCAGAGAGAGACTAGAGAGAGAGACTAGAGAGAGAGACCAGAGAGAGAGTCCAGAGAGAGACTAGAGAGAGAGACTAGAGAGAGAGACCAGAGAGAGAGTCCAGAGAGAGACTAGAGAGAGAGTCCAGAGAGAGACCAGAGAGAGAGACCAGAGAGAGGGACCAGAGAGAGAGTCCAGAGAGAGACCAGAGAGAAACCAGAGAGAGACAAGAGTGAGATCAGAGAGACCAGAAAGAGACCAGAGAGAGACAAGAGGGATACCAGAAAGAGTACAAAGAGAGACAAAAGAGAGACCAGAAAGAGAGACCAGAGAGTAGGACGTGTGATATGGTCTGGATGGTCAGGAGGGCCTTTTACCCGTCGTATGGTTTGTAAATGTTGGGAAAGCTGCCGTTGACTTTGACATCTGATCCAGGCCAAAAGAAGGTCCCAGATCTCAGCCCCTGATACATCGCAGTGAGCCAGACCTGAGGAGGCACCAGGAAGAGGAGGAGGAAGAGGTGGAAGGAGAGGAGAAGAAGGAGGAAGAAGAAAAGGAAGAGTAGTATTTGCAGGAGCAGTAGTAGCTCTGGGAGTAGTACAGACTCTTCTTGGTACCTGGTCCGGTCGATAGTAGCAGTAGTATTAGTAGTATTTGCAGAAGCAGAAGTTGTGGTAGTAGTAGTACTAGTAGTAGTAGTAGTAGTAGTAGTAGGGAGAAGCGTCTGCATTCGGAGCTTTGATATACCGTCAGTCTACATCTCCACCGTACACACAAACACACACACACCCTCACTAGTTAGTTAGTTAGTGTCACTAACAGAAGAATCATGTCCAGTACTAGTAACGATAGTGTTTTCTGCACTTATAGTAATAGTAGTAGAATCTGCTGTAGTACCGGTTGGCCCTGGTACCAAGCTGGGTTGTCCTTTTCGGGGCTGGAGAGACTGAAAGAAGCGTCCATCTCTGGGTCGTACATGCTGTTATCGATCAGCCCGTTAGACTCAGGATACAGACCCTGAAGAGAGAAACATGTGAGTGTGTGTGTGTGTGTGTGTGTGTGTGTGTGTGTGTAGCTTTGAGGAGAAACCCACATGAGGACTAATCATTTATTTTGTTAGTTTCATAGGGCTCTGGGGTCTTGCTCTGGCTCTGGGTCTGAGTCTGGATCTGGGTCTGGTCTGGGTCTGGTCTGGGTCTAGGTCTGAGTCTGGGTCTGGTTCTGGTCTGGGTCCGGGTTTGAGTATGGGTCTGGTCCGTCTGGGTCTGGTCCGTCTGGGTCTGGTCTGATTCCGGGTCTGGGTCTAGGTTTGGGTTTGAGTCTGGGTCTGGTCTGGTCTGGTTCCAGGTGTGGGTCTGGCCCTGGGTCTTACAGTGACGATGGTGTAGTGGTTTGGGAACGTCTTGCTGGGAAACGCCGCCTGCATGAAGGGAGTCGACGTGCCGCATTTATCTGAACAAGAATAAAACAGCATTTGCTTTACTCACTCTAAGTCCTGGTCCAGTTCTGGATAAGTCCTGGTTCAGTCCTGCTTCAGTTCTTACTCAGTTTGCTGATCACTGGCACCAGTTTGCTCCATCTCTGTAGATAATCCGCTCTCCATCCATCCAGCGACACAAGGAGCAGCGGCTGCTTCCCGAGCCTCCAACAAAACACAAATATATATCATGAGATATGAGCAGCTCTGATTTACCGCTCAGTTTACATCCCCACTATACACACGAGCGCACACACACACACAGCACAGACGCAGACACGCACACACGCGCACACACACACACACACAGGCACAGACACAGACACGCACACACGCGCACACACACACAGACGCAGACACGCACCTGCCGACTCAGCCCCATAATGTCATTAATGTGACATCCTGGACATCCTTCGTAAAAGTGATGCGGAAAAACTGATCCCTGCTTTTGTCACCTCAAGACTTGACTACTGTAACACTTTACTGGCAGCGTGCCCTAAAACCTCTTTGAAGAGCTTTCAGTGCCTTCAAAATACAGTGGCAAAGATCGTAACGGGAACCAAAAGGAGGGAGCACATAACTCCGGTGTTAAAATCACTCCACTGGCTCCCTGTGGAGTACAGAATAAAGTTTAAAATCCTTCTTTTAACATATAAAGCCATAAATGGCTTGGCTCCTTCTTATCTCCAAGACACGTTAGTGTCATATCAACCAAACCGAGCATTGCACTTTGAAAATGCCACGAGTCTGGTGCACCGTCGCCGGCAGAGCTTTTAGCTTCCAAGCTCCTTTACTGTGGAATCAGCTCCCCACCCACGTTAAGGAAGCAGACACAGTCTCCAAATTAAAGACCAGGCTTAAAACGCTCTTCCCCAAAATTATAGCATATGGTTAGGTTGTTAGTCTGGTTTTGGAGTCTGCTTGTACGGAACACGGTCTGGCGAACCGCTGCATCTTTCAACCTTTGTTACAAACTTGAACCTTACCTAACTAAGTATTGTGAATTACACACTTTCTTTGATGCTGTAGCCGGGGCTAGCCCAGCCGTGGCTGCTGCTGTCTTTCATTCAGTCAGACACGGTATTTACATTCAAGTCTAGGCTTAAAACAGTCCTCTTCAGTTTAGCATATGGTTAGGTAGGTAAGAATCAGGGAAGGCTAAAAATCTTAGCTTGTCAGTTAAGCTGCACCGGGAGTCAGTTTGCTGGGAGAAGTATGGTAACTTGAGGACTATCCTCTCCTCCTCTACTATATCTGTTTTGCATTATTAGGATTTTGACTGTAGTTTGTTCATTGCTATTCACTCGTTGTCCCATTGTCTGTTTCATGGCACGACGACGGGACCTCTGAACCCGGCCCCCTCTATCTTCACCTGCGTACTGCCCTTCCCGACCCGCCTGGAAGTTGCTTCAGTCCTGCACAGGACCTGTCCACGCTCTGCGGCCGCTGCGTGGCCCTGGTCCTCGTTCTGTAGCTTAGGTCCTGGATCTATAGCCGGTCCGTTTGTGGGAGCGGAGTTTTTGTTTTTCCTTGCCGATGCAGGAGGGTCTGTTGGTGACTCCTGAACTCTGCTCCGAGCATATATACTGTATATATATATATGTGTGTGTGTATGTGTTTAAGGAAGTTAGACACCAGCGAGTGTCTTAAGCCTAGATGATGGAGATGATCAGTTGCCAAAATCGGTCGATGTGAGCGCTCTTACAACTGGAGATAAACAGTCGATCTCCAGTTTCAGTCAGTTACCCGTGTTCTACTTTTCGGGAACTAGTTGTCCTCAGTTCCGGAGATATCACCCGATGTGCGTGCTCCAACAACATGTGTGTATTGCGTAAACTCTACAGTTTATGTCAGAAAACACACTGTAGTTGAGGCCAGTTGCTGTCGATGTACGCGCTGTTCATTCCCGAGACTGGTCTGCTACTGGGAGTTGCCCGTTTTCGCCAGATTGTCGATGTGTGCGGGGCAGTAACTCATATGCGACGGATAAAATCAGTTGCCAGTCCGATGTACACTAGGCATAAGGAGTTTGATGAGAGGCCTGTGAGGATTAGATAGCTACTTGGCCTGCGTGCAGGACAAGCACAAGACTCTACAAGGACTCTGATGCATCCATGTTTTGACTATGATATACTCATGACTGTCTCTGGATTTGACATGTCTTTCGATGTGTGACGTGACAATGACTATATAAACTGTGTACTGCCTTTATTCTGTCTGAGGGAAAGGAACATCAGAAACCACTGGAACTTGAGAGAAACCAAAATTAACTTCGCTCCACGATCCGTTTCTGTCTGGTTTATTCCTGACAGATTTGGTGAAGAATGTGCGGCTTCAGTGTGCGCCATTCTCTGGTTGTTTTGAGGGACTTTCTTTTGTTTCTTTTTTCCCGGCGTGAGAGAAAAGAAACATCAGAAACCACTGGAACTTGAGAGAAACCAAAATAAACTTCCAGAGTTTTCCTACGTGCAGGACAAGCACAAGACTCTACAGGCCTTTAAACAAAAGGGGTGGGGGGACGTGCTCTCACCCGGCGGGACAGTGGGCGGAGGACAGGTCGTCACATTCTCCTTCCTCCCACAACTTTTGTCCTGAAGAAAAATGCAGAAAGAGTTTTAGTAGAGAAACGTGCGCTCAGAGCAGAGTTCAAGAGTCACATCAACCATCTGTGGTTTACGACATGCTTTTAACAAGATGTTTAACAACATTTAACAACTATTTTAATTTTCATTAAAGACAACAAAACAGACAAACACATCAACATTAAACAAGAATAAAAATATATAATAATAATGATTAGAATTATAATAATAATGATTATTATAATAAGACAACCAAAGACAATTAGACAAAGGTGAAACTTAAGCTATGAACATACTTGTGGGCGCTGTGGGGTGTTTTATATATATATTTTTTTTATTATTTATTTTCTTTACTTTTTAATTTATTCATATTTTCTATATATATATATGTATATATATATGTGTGTGTGTGTGTATGAAATGCATTAAAAAGGCCTGAAAAAGCTCAGAGTGGCGCTCCTCCTTCAGACCTGCCAGGTTGTGTGTGTGTGTGTGTGTGTGTGTGTGTGTGTGTGAATTCTTGAATCAGGGGTCACACCAGGGGTCCTGGTACCTGTACATGCACGTTTGTAGATGGTACCTGTACATGCACGTTTGTAGATGGTACCTGTACATGTACGTTTGTAGATGGTACCTGTACATGCACGTTTGTAGATGGTACCTGTACATGTACGTTTGTAGATGGTACCTGTACATGCACGTTTGTAGATGGTACCTGTACATGCACGTTTGTAGATGGTACCTGTACATGCACGTTTGTAGATGGTACCTGTACATGCACGTTTGTTGATGGTACTTATGCATGTTTGTAGTTGGTACTTGCACACGCATGTCTGTAGTTGGTACCTGTACACGCATGTCTGTAGTTGGTACCTGTACACGCATGTCTGTAGTTGGTACCTATACACGCATGTCTGTAGTTGGTACCTATACACGCATGTCTGTAGTTGGTACCTATACACGCATGTCTGTAGATGGTACCTCTACATGTATTTCTGTAGTTGGTACCTGAGCATGTGTGTGTGTTTATGGCACCTGTACATGGATTTGTCTGTGTGTGTGTTGATGGTACCTATACATGCGTGTTTGTAGATGGTACCTGTACATGTGTCTTGATGGTTCCTTTACATGCGTCTGAGGGTACCTGTTTATGTGTCTGATGGTTCCTTTACATGTGTGTGTGTCTGTGTGTACCTGAACACACGTGTTCGTAGTTGGTACAACAATCTCCTCTCATGCTGCAGTCGTGTGAACAGTGACAGTTGCTGTTTGGAAGTCGCTTTTCTCCACAACGCAGACGTGAGCATTCCCACTGCTGCGCTGAGGACAGAGACACAATAATAATGATAATAATAATAATATGATAATAATACATTGGTTTTATATTGCACTTTTCAGGACACTGAAAAGACAGACTTGAGTTCGTCTCCCCCGGGTTGCTCCCCTCCCTCTGGCCTCTAGTACCTGGTATTGTGCAGAGGTCATGGAAGTCCGCGCAGCAGCTGTGTGTGTTGTTACAGAGGGAATCGCACCGACATCCAGGCACCTCGCCATCATAGGGCTCATAACAGCGCCCCCTACAGGATGTGTGTGGAACCACTGAGAACACAGGAGAGACACTACATCAGCGTGGATCAAACAACAAAAGAACATCCTGGGTCTACACCCTCAGTCCTGGATCTACAGCCTCAGCCCTGGATCTACAGTCTCAGCCGTGGATCTACACCCTCAGCCCTGGATCTACAGTCTCAGCCCTGGATCTACAGTCTCAGCCCTGGATCTACAGTCTCAGCCCTGGATCTACAGTCTCAGTCCTGGATCTACAGTCTCAGCCCTGGATCTACAGTCTCAGCCCTAGATCTACAGTCTCAGCCCTGGATCTACAGTCTCAGTCCTGGATCTACAGTCTCAGCCCTAGATCTACAGTCTCAGCCCTGGATCTACAGTCTCAGTCCTGGATCTACTGTCTCAGTCCTGGATCTACAGTCTCAGTCCTGGATTTATAGGACTCCACTCTACTCTACCCTCCTCCGATTGGCAGTGTTTCCACAGGCCCTGTTTAACCAGTACCAGGTCCTTCTTTAGTCCCTCTTGGTCCTGGCCAAGCTGGTACTAAAGTCTTCTATATGACAGAGATTGACCAGAGTGCTTCTGGAAGCCACAGTTACCAAAGAATATTCCTGTGGATTTCTTGTGAGTAGCTTGCTAGATAATGGTATTAGATCATGCGTGATGGAAAGGCAACCAGGTAGAGTAGAGTAGAGTAGAGTAGAGTAGAATACAGAGTAGAGTAAAGCGTGGAGTTGGTGGAAATGTGGCTTGTGTTGCGCAACTCTATCATGATGGTTTGAAATGTGCTGTTTTCACAATTTTTTCTGTATTGTCTTGTGAAAACGTCTTATGACTCACAGAGATCAGAGGTCAAAGTCAAGTCATGTGTCCCCTGTTTCACAGCTCATGTGACTGACGTGTCACAGAAAGATCAAGTTCAACTAAAAATGAATTTTTTTGTGAAACGTCCGTACCTGTATTAAGATCAAAATTTAATAACATTTCAAGTAAAGACTTGTCCCCACTGGTCCTTCTCTTGTCTCTCTCTGGTCTCTGTGGTGTCTCACTGGTGTCTCTGGTTGGAGTATTTGAATGGCGTTGTCAGGTAAAGTGATCGGGGACAGGTGATAGGTGAAACAGCTTTTTTTTTACGCACCTTTGTCCTTCCATCTTTGCAGCTCCAGACCCAGTCCCAGACCCAGACCCAGGACCAAAGCCACAACCGCAATGGCCAATGCCACCACCTGGACATATTTGGGATTACACACACACATGCCTCAGTATGCATCTACAATGGGCTTGATTTGTTCACTCTTTTTATTACACTGTCATCATGAAAATATAACATCATATGATATTATAGTAGTTATTGCAATGTTAGAAACTATTAGGGCCAAAACCATGTGGATATGAACACCAACAAAAGATAACTCATACCAGAATGTGGGAGATGGTTCAGAAGGGAGAAAGGACCCAAGGGAGGCCCAGGAGGCACCCAGAGACCAGGAGAGCAAGGAGGCTGAGAGCCATGACTTATATGACCTATATGTCCCACCTGATTTCCCAGTTAAGAGGGGGGGTCAACCAGTACAGGAAGGTTGACAATGAAGCCCCCCAAGGACGGGTGAAGGACATTTAAATCTATGCTCACATGCACTGTGATTTATTTTCTCATCAAAATATTCTCATACAAAGTTGTTTTCATAATATCTCAAAGATTACTGGACTAAATACAGGACAGAAAACCTGTGCAGTTCCAGTCCCTCTGCTTGGGAAACACTGCAGTGGATTAAATAATGATGTCACACTTGTCCTTGTCTTGTCGAATGATTACAGACAGATACTTTATAATAAATAATCAGAGATGAAATAATTTTACTGCAGATGAGATTAAGGACAGTAAGAGTAAAGTCTTTCTCGTCCTCACAGCAGAGCATCTCACTGTTGTGTAAATGTAAACACTAACTGTAAAAGTTTATATTATTCAAATGGATAAAAAAACAATAACAAAGGCCCAATGGATTTTAACAGAAGTCAATGAAAAAAATCATATGATTGCAAAATGTATCTGAAATATAATCCACTTTGCCTTTTGTGTGTGAATGAGTGTGTGTGAGAGTGTGTGCGTGTATGTGTGAGAGTGTGTGTGTATGATATAGTATTGTGCTACTGTTCTACTCGACCAGACTGGTGAATGTTGTGACAAAGTCAAAAACAAATGTCAGTTTATAAAAATATTAAACAAATGATTGGATTCAAAAGGCCCTCTTTACAGGTTTTGAAGTACACTTCTTGATGAGCATTTTGTTGTGCAGTACTCTGGCATATTTGTGTCTGCATGTGAGTGTTGTGGGTTTCTCATGTGAAAATCTTCTCTGTTCGGTCTTCACACCAAACCAACAAAACAAAACACTGAATTCTCTGATAACTCCTGGTTCTGAATGAGATGTAGTGGATTATTGATGTCACTCAAACAGCTGCAGTTCTACTCACAAGGATCTTCTTCCTCTTCCGAGTCTCTTGCAGAAGCCCCATCTTCTCACACCAGCTCCCAGCTCTCAGATCCCAGAGTCAGGTCTTCGGTCCTGTCCTGCCTAGACTCTGATCCTGTTGTTCTCAGGTCGTTGAGCTCAGTTCTGTGGTCTCTCTGGTCTCACTCTAGTTTCTCTGGTTCTGTTCCGAAGTCTCTGGTGCTGTTCTGGTCTCTGGACTTTGAACCATGTGACTGGCAGATAAGAGCTGATTGGTCGACAGCAGAGCGGAGATAAGCTCGCGTTTTACGCTTCTGGTAAGAGTGTCTTCACAACACCGTAAAACAGTAAATGGCATAAAACGGGTCTATATCCTGGTCTTAATCATGGTGTGGTCTCCAAAGGGGTCTATAATCTACAATTCACACACAGCACCTCAGATTTTGCATAAAACGCTAGGAACACGGTTACACAACTGCCAACCATTGTAGTCAATCTCATATTCATTGTTTTAATGTCAGGATTCGGCTCACATTTGCCTCGTATTTTCAGGAAGACTGTTCCAGGTTGTAGCGGTATACAAACCAGGATCTCCATGGAGATTAGGTCAGAGAGGACTTGGAGGAAGATTATTGAAATGTATTTCTACCATCAGAGAGGCCAGATAAAAAACAGAGATATCAGAGAGAGAGACCAGAGAGAGAGAGAGACCAGGAGAGCAGGGATACCAGAGTGTGAGAGACCAAAGAGAGAAATTCCAGAGAGACCATAGTTGATGTGCTGACAACAATTTTAGTTGTCAGTGGATTGTTCAAGAAAGTAGTGACAAACTCAAACTGGAATCTGAATTTTGGCACCAACCATAGTTACTAGGTGAGATGTTTCAGTTGCGCTCAATCACAAAGTGAAACTATCACTCTTTGGAACATGAGAGAAGGATGTTTGTTGCTGGTGTGGTGTGTAAGAGTGTACTCGTTTATATTTCGCAGGGATGAAAAGTGCATTCCAACCATTACAGACAACCACACTTTCATTTGTTTATACTTTATTTGACAAAACTAAATCAAGTCTCACATGAAAATATACGACATCAACAACAGGTCTGTGTCCACGAAAACTGTAGCACGACGACTGTAGCCTGGTGAGCTACACTAATCTAATGCCAACAACTCTAAGGATTATGCAGACTGACTTGGACTTTCGCAGTGACCTCATCAACTTGGAGGACAGGGACTGTGACAAACTGGTATATGAACAAAGTGAAAATTCCTTGGTAGCCATGGCTTCCAGCAGCACTCACTGGCCAATCACTGGCAGTCAGAACACTTTAGTATCAGCTCGGTCTGGTTAGAACCAGGACCAAAAGGGACTAAAGAATAACCTGGTACTGGTTAAACAGGACCAGTGGAAACACTCCCTCTCAGGGTAAATTAGAGTAGGGCCAAGTAGAGCTGGAGGAGACGAGGCTTAACGTTTGCAGAGTAAGGCTGTTGGGCTCTGTTACTTCCATTATTGAGTGTTACTCAAACGTTTGTGTTTCTCATGATAAAGTTTAGTTGTGATGGGGCAAATGTTTATTATCAGATCAGAGTGGATTTACTGCGTTTGACCTATAAACTGTAAATTGACCAGAGTCCAGAAAAAACAGCCGATGCTAACGATAAAGGGACCTAATGGTTGTGGGTTTGAGCCCACCACGACCCATGTCATCTGCTCCCACTGATGTCTGCTGTCACTGTGTCCCTGGGCAAGACACCTAACCCCAAATTGCCTGAAGCCCCCGCTGAAAGACCAAGGCCATGTCTTTGATCATGGAGAAGCCATCATCCCGTGGACTCACCGCCTGCTGGAGGAACAGCGAGGGACTGTTGCATTGAGACTTGGGTGGGGGTTCTGATTGCTACTAACCTTGCCTGCAAGCTGAATTCTCGCGGTATTTGTGAGTTCACAAACACTCGAGAATACATCTTGCCCCGCTCCCGCCAACCCTTTTCGAGTAGAACATCTAGGTGTTCAAGCCAATCACTCGCCAGTCTGGGGGTTTAGGGCGGGATATCCGGGTTTGCAAAATCAAACATGGCTACGCAGGAGGACGGACGCGTAGCTGAGGCTATCAAGTCAGTTTAGCAGAATCTCCAATTTCTTTTTTGAAAGATGAACAGCGAGAGGCACTTTGTGCATTTCTGGACGGCAAAGATGTTACCGGGATTGGTTTAAGTCAAGCCTTGGTAGGCGGGCACACAGCGTCACTTCGCCCAATCAGCTTGAAGTATTCTGCTGCTTATCCCTCCTTTCCACGAAAGGATTCTCCTGCAGAAGTCCCAGATTGATATTGTGGAGAACGCATTAGAGTTCTACACAATCATCAATCTGACTCTTGCCAGGTTAGATTGCCCCCCGGACCCAGAAATGGACTAATACAGGGGTAGAAAATGACATGAAATGAACTCTTAGAGCAGTCAATTTGATGGTTTTTAGTTTTTAATGTGAAATTACTCAGAACTTTGTGACTCTATGTAGTTTGTTTAAATGTCAGTATTTTTATGAAGTCATCTTTTATTTTTGAAATTTGAGGAGTCCTACATTTAGCTCAAAGAGCAGTGATTCGGACTCCATTCATTTGTAAGTAAAATTCAAATGCAGCCATTTTCAGTTGCTTGGAAATCAACATTCTACGGTAGTTAAAGCCGCTATAGTGGTCCTGAATCTTTTCTGGACGGGTCTGGTTCTGAGCCGAAAATTTCAAATAAGGCAGCACATCCCTGAAGTCTGGCCTAGCGTGCTGGATTAAAAAATTGCAAAACGTAAAAACAGTGAAAAAAATCTGCACAGCTATGTAGCTCCCAATTTCTGGTTCTGAGCCGAGTCAGCTGGATTCACATCAGTGAAGAGCAAAGGCTATAATTTTCTGTGAATACCATTTGATTGAATGGGAGCAGTCAAAATGAAAGCTCTAGGAGTTCTAGTGTTTTTAAAATCCTGGAAGCTAGTATTTGGTTGGTCTTTTAGATGTGTTCATATCAACATAAGTCTATCTAACAACTACAGCTAATGTTAGCATGTACTAGTCCTTTAAGTGTGCTAAAGTTAGCATGATCTGATCCATTAAGCGTGCTAATTTTAGCATGGATTGGTCCTTTAAGCGTGCATGTACTGGTCCTTTAGGCATACTCATGTTAGCATGATCTGGCCTTTTAAGCGTGCAATGTTAGCATGATCTGGTCCTTAGGCATGCTAACATTAGCATGAGCCTGTCCTTTAAGCATGAAAATGTTAGCATGATCTGATCCTTTAAAGTGATAGTGTGGACTTAGTCAGAAAAAAGAGAGGTACATGATTTGAAAAAAAAACCCCAAAAAAAACACCCAAACTCCCTCCTTTCTGATTGGCATTTTCCGTGCACAAGCCAGGTCAATGAGCCAAGACGTGCAGAGGAGAGAGAGAAAACAGTGTCAACAATGGAGTTATCGTATTTAGAAGCGACACGTGAAATGGGTATCTTCTGCTCTTGAGGTGAGTGTTGATCCATGGCGTTCACGTGATTGGTTCATGTGGACGGATTTTGAGCCATAGCTAAGATAAGGGAAGGTGCGACTTACCCGTAAAATTATAATTCATAAAATAACTTATTTAATATCAACATTTAAGGCCAGGAGGTCAATTTAATACCAATCTTATAAACTGTAATTTGTTTAAAGTTCCAGACTATCACTTTAAGCGTGCTAACATTAACATGATCTAGTCCTTTAAGCATGCTGATGTTAGCATGTACTGGTCCTTTAAGCATGCTAAAGTTAGCATGATCTGGTCCTTTAAGCATGCTGATGTTAGCATGTACTGGTCCTTTAAGCATGCTAAAGTTTAGCATGATCTGGTCCTTTAAGCATGCTGATGTTAGCATATACTGGTCCTTTAAGCATGCTAAAGTTTAGCATGATCTGGTCCTTTAAGCATGCTGATGTTAGCATGTACTGGTCCTTTAAGCATGCTAAAGTTTAGCATGATCTGGTCCTTTAAGCATGCTGATGTTAGCATATACTGGTCCTTTAAGCATGCTAAAGTTTAGCATGATCTGGTCCTTTAAGTGTGCTAATGTTAGCATGATCTGGTACTTTAAGCGTGTTAATGTTAGCATGTACTGGTCCTTTAAGTGTGCTAACATTAGCATGAGCTTGTCCTTTAAGTTGTTTATAATCGCAGTTTACAGTCGATTCTAATAACATTAAAGATCTTCGTGGGCCATTGGTTTATCACAATGTCTCTTAAAGCTGGGGTAGGTAACTTTAAGACCACAACAATAAAACTTTTATTGCCTCTAATTCCTGGCTCTAAAACAGTTTCCTGAACAGCAGTTTTCACTAGTGATAGAAGGTCACTAGTGACCTTCTATGGTCTTTGGTTTTGATCTTGGTGCTGGTTCTGATCTTGATTTTGGTCTTAATCTAATTTTAACATCATGTATTTCTGGCCTCTGTCACATCTTTAGATCAACTTTTTCAGACAGAAAAGTGAAAAAGAGAGGACCACCGTCACTCAGCCAATCAGCTCTCCGCCCAAAGAGTCAAATATTGACTCACAGGGCTCTTACTCACACAAAAGATAGCATGTTTTCCAATAAGATGAAGACAGTTGTGGTCTGGTTTGTCCACACCATTTTAGTCTAAGACTCTTTCTGTCTTATAAGAGTAAAGTTACGTAGCCAAGCTTTAATAAGCAATTTAATCCCATAGTTGTGTGTAGTTGTGTGTAGTTGTGTATAGTAGTGCGTCAGTCCTCGGGCTCGAAGGTCTCCATTCGGGTCTTCAGCTTCAGAACTTGGACTTGGGTCAGGTTGGTGGACCGGAACAGGTCCAAACCCGTTAGGATCTCAATGTCCCGGACTCGGGCTGTGTGGGTCTGGATCAAGTCCTGGACCCACTGGGACTCGGGCTCCGCATTCTGAAAGACAAAAGATAGGACTGAACTTGAATCGAAAAGGGACTGAACCAGGAACTGGTCTGGACCAGGACTGAAGGGGGACTAAATAAGGAGTGAAGTAGGACTGAACCAAGACTGAACCAGGACTGGACTGAACCTGGCTCACGGCGAGGTCTGTACAAAAAAAGACAGCGGTCTGATATTTCTCAGTACAGGCCAAGCAAGCGAGGTTTATAAATGTTTTATTATATGACTATTTTTAATTTGTGCATATATCGATCGGTTTCAACTAGCAAAAACACATACAACCAAACTGTCAAATTGTGACATGGAGAACTTGCTTATCAGATGAGTCCAGTCCCTCACTCTTAGATTTTTAGTTTGTGTGTCTGTCTAAACGTGTGTGTTTGTGTCATGAATTTGTGAAGCGTCTTTGAGTTCTTGAAAAGCGCTATATAAAACTGATGTATTATTATTATTATTATTATTGAGGCGCCCGCTGGTAAGTTCTGTCTTTAGCTGTAGTTATCTGCAGTTCATCCAGAGCGATCATGGGCCTCTTGGCTGCATCTCTGATCAGTCTTCTTGTTTGAGATGAAAGTTCGGAGGGACGGCCAGGTCTTGGTAGATTTGCAGTGGTCTGATACTCCTTCCATTTCAATATAACTGCTTGCACAGTGCTCCTTCAGATGTTTAAAGCTTGGGAAATCTTTTTGTATCCAAATCCGGCTTTAAACTTCTCCACAACAGTATCTTGGACCTGCCTGGTGTGTTCCTTTGTCTTCATGGTTCTCTCTGCGCTTTAAACAGAACCCTGAGACTATCAAAGAGCAGGTGCATTTATACGGAGACTTGATTACACACAGGTGCATTCTATTTATCATCATCAGTCATTTAGGACAACATTGGATCATTCAAAGATCCTCACTGAACTTCTGGAGTGAGTTTGCTGCACTGAAAGTAAAGGGGCCGAATAATATTGCACGCCCCACTTTTCAGTTTTTTATTTGTTAAAAAAGTTTAAATTATCCAATAAATTTCGTTCCACTTCACGATTGTGTCCCACTTGTTGTTGATTCATGACAAAAAAATTAAATTGTATATCTTTATGTTTGAAGCCTGAAATGTGGCGAAAAGTTGAAAGGTTCAAGGGGGCCGAATACTTTCGCAAGGCACTGTATGCGTGTGTATGTGTCTGTGTGTGTGAGTCATATGCCAGGGATGTAAATATTTGGATTTCAGTGATTTGTGATCCTTTTGTGAAAAGCAGAAACTGAAACTAGATCTCTGTCCATTCCTCAAACTGAAGGCGTTGTGGAAAAGGCTGGTGTATTGTTTTGATAAAAGGGTCAAAACAAACCTTCCACTTTACAGTTATGACGCAGAGAGAGACCCCAGAGAGCCGAGAGAGACCCAGAGACCAGAGAAACACCACAGAGAGAGAGCAGAAAGATCACAGAGAAATCGGAGAAAGATCACAGAGAGAGCACAGAGATCAGAGAGAGCCCAGAGCAACCATAGAGAGCCCACAGTCTTCCATGGCTACAACACTTGTGCATTCATATACAGTACTGTATGTCTCAACATATACTACTTTTTATGCATTTATGGATTTTTAGAACGCGTTGCACCAACAACCAAAGCAAATTCCTAGTTTGTAACTTTCTGTTACTTACAATAGCAATCAACATATACTGATTCCAGAGAGATAGTATAGAGACAAGAGAGACCAGAGAAACAACACAGAGATCAGAGAGATAGCAGACAGAGCAGAAAGAATCATCATTCTTTCTGCAACAGCCCACACTCTGACAGTAAGAGCTTCACTCACCCAAACACTGCTCCACAGCTCGTGAAAGACCAGAGTGTGATTGAGCAAAGTGATTGTCCTAATGAGACTTATGTGTGTAGTTTTAGAACCTTCTTTCTCTGAGCCTCATGGAGTAGTGGCATTTACACTCTTTGCTTTTATTGTGTCTAAGTAACACCTGTGTTACTCTCTGGTCCCTCTCTGGTCTCTTTCTTTCTTAACTTTCACTGGTCTCTCTCTTGTTCCTATCTGGTCTCTCGCTGGTCTCTCTCTGCTCATGCTCTGGGTCCCCTTTGGTCTCTCTCTAAGAGAACTATTAATGTAATTATGAGAGAGAGAGAGAGAGAGAGAGAGAGAGAGAGAGAGAGAGAGAGAGAGAGAGAGAGAGAGAGAGAGAGAGAGAGAGAGAGAGAGAGAGAGAGAGAGAGAGAGAGAGAGAGAGAGAGAGAGAGAGAGAGAGAGAGAGAGAGAGAGAGAGAGAGAGAGAGAGAGAGAGAGAGAGAGAGAGAGAGAGAGAGAGACAGAGAGAGAGACCAGAATTCTCCCTCCTGCTTTAATCACGTCAGATCAGAATCAAAGTGGTTCTATTTTCCAGTTTACAGATTATGAGAAATGTCACCTGAAATGTCAGTGCAGCTTCTGCAGAAGTGACATTTGAGGCGTCACTTCTGATCTGGAAATGTCAGACTGTGGGAGTGATGCCGGTCATTGTGTATTTTTCCTATTCTTATGAACTTATACATTACATACTAATGAGCAGGGTGGACGAGGTCATTGTGTGGGGAGGTTACAGAGAAAACCATAAACACTGCTTCTGCTGGAAAGTCTAACAAACCACATACTCTGGAAACCCATCAGCGACTGAGACGGCCCATATTTGGCAGTTTGCAAAACCAACACACACTGAGGATAACTTAAAAGTATTATCACTATATTTCTTGTCCTTGTCTAATGTAAGGGAAACTGTTTTATGGACAATTATCAACATTTATAGACATTTTTCAACTCCCCCTATGGACCAAGACCTGTGTGTTCTATATTTTTTGTGTTTGAACTGTTTGATTCTCTGATCTGTGTTGGTGAATTTGAGTTGTGTAAAGGGCTATAAACAAAAATAAACGTAATTACATTGAATTGAGTTTACAACTTGTCGCAAGAGTTTCTGTATTTAAAGTTGTGGCATTAAATTATGGAACAGTCTCAGTGTTGAGCTAAAATTAAGCAAATAAAAACAAAAATATAACATAAAGAAGACATTTTTGTGATATATAATAGTAAATTGTGTTGCTTACATATGTGCAGATGTGGTTGTGTTGCTTCAGTTTTGTTCCAACTAAAGTAAACTCCTCTCGCTCAGTAACCATTCATGTCACACTCACCATTTTAGTTTAGTGCACTGTGATCCTGTTGTTTATTTTGTAATATGCCTTTAATGGTTTCCTCAACCATTGAAGCTTGGAACTGAAATCTACCTCATTGGGGCATATCTATCACTTGGTTTTAGGCACTTTACCATCAAGCTGCATTTCAACCATTTGGCAAAGTCCTGTAATTAAAATAAATGTTTTTAATTGTATTTGTGTGCTCATTGTTTTCTTCAGGGGTGAACATTAAAGGGTTATTATCTTTGTAAACCCAGAGATATATAAGGACTTGTCTGCAGTGTTTGATTTGATGTTGTTGCAGGTGTAGAGAAGGGCTGCCCTCTGGTGGACAGAAGGAACAGAGCAGCTTCCAAACAAATGTCTTAGCAACATGTTGAGACCAAATCGGTTCCACCTAGCGTATGCTTTGGTACATATCACCCCTGTCAGCGATACGATACAATTCACTCCTATTCTCGATACAATTCAATTAAAAACGATTTCATAACAATAAAATATGAGCCTTACAAAGGACTTTGGTTTGATTAGTTTTGATAAGTAATAAAAATCATGTCACTATAGTTCCAGGCTCTAAAATAGTGTAGTTCTGTCACTTTCCACATGTGCGGTATCTTTGGCCTCATTCTTAGATCAGATTTTCAGCCAATGTTTCAATGAAGTGAAGGTGTGCTGTTGTCTGATTTGTTCAAAACATTTACTTTTGAACACAAAAGATATGTTAAGTTAGGTCAAAAGACTCTTTATTTCAGTCCTGACTCTCGCAGGCTCAGCTGGCTCAGTCCAGGTTCAGTCCTGGCTCAGTCCCGGTCTAGTCCTGGTTCAGTCCTGGTTCAGTCCCAGTCTAGTCCTGGTTCATATCCTGGTTCAGAGTCCCAGTTTAGTAAAGGTTCAGATTACAGCTTTATTTACTAAACTTGAGTGAAGTGCATCCTTCTTGCCCCATCTTTTTTTTAAAACATTGATTGAAACGCATCGCAAAATATGGCCCCGGTGTCGGGTCTGGCCTGCCAAGCAATTTAATCCAGCCTGTTGAAATTTTTTCATAAAAGAGTACATTTTCTGGAATTTTCTGTGCCGTGTTGACAAATCTGCAGCTCTTTTTGCCGTCCCCTTGAACAGTGGTGTGTTTGAGGCAAGCTCCTGTGATATGTGAGGACACTTGTGTGATATGACCCTTGACAACTTCTGCTCTTGATGAACAAAGAAAGGTTGATACAGAATATTTTGTTTGTGGGGAGAAATGGGAGTACAATGTGAATCAGCATTACCAGACGAAGCACGTAGATGAGTACAGAAATATGAATGATGGTGAAGTGGCGCGGACATTGAACGCTTTACTAGCTGTGCTACAAATGCAACACAACTTTCACCAAGCGTTAAGCCTAGTGTATAGTCGCGCGGCGCGGAGCTTACCGTGGTGACGTGACATCACTTGACCAATGCAAGGATCACTGCAAGACCCTTGCGTAGCCACCCCTGCTCCCTCGAAAATGTCTAACTATGCAGCCGGCGCCGCAGATGAGCTCCTCTGTGATTGGTCCGTGTGTGTGTGTGTTTTGGAAGGAAGCATGGAGCAGCTGTAGGGAACGTGGACGGGGCACTTCGGAGCAGATTGCTTCGTGCTTTGAAGGAACCGAAGGAAAAAAAAATTGGGCTAATGGCTCAGAGCCAGATATATGTGGAGACTGTGGATATGCAACAGAACTGAACACAGTTCTGTTGCATATCAAACTTATAAACTGCCCATTTGTTACTTTTGCACTGTTCCTGCGCCTGTCTTTGAATCTGCACTTGTAGCTTATCGCGTCTGTTGCATTCCTCTTGCA